ATTCAATAGTCATAAAAAATCTTTGTGTCATTAGCAAACATTTGAATTCTGTCTGTCAGATATTGTGAATTTATCTGTTTGCTCTGTTTTGAGATAAGCGTGTCAAAATCTAAAGTGCGAAAGGAGAAGATTGTCATTAAAGACTGAGGCTGCGACTTGGTGGTCGTTCCAAACCATCGCTCGGGCAAAGAGAAGATTGCTGTTACAATGATAGCTCTTTTCTGCTTTATCCAGTTGTGCTAATACTTCCCTCCAAGAAGCTCTTCAGAGGAACAAGAGCTTATTTCTCTTCAGAGTTTGTCAAAAAGCACCTTGAAAAGCAAAGGCTTCTCTGCTTCCAGAGCCTAAAAGCATTGATGTGAAGTGCTATGTACAATACAAAGCTGGAGTTCCAGAAAGGGCTGACAGAGAGCTCCTGAGCTAACAAATCCTTGACATTTCTGTAACACAAGAAGTGTTTATTTTGCATATCCCAGAAAAGAAGTAGAGACATGCATACCTGTATGTTATTAATATGCTACAGACCTGCTGCTTTAGATATACTTGTCTTTCAGTAAAAAGGTTACAAAGAGAAAATGTTGCTCTTAAGCATGTTTCTATATAAGACAAGCATGTGCTACAAGAAGAAAAAAAAGATTAACTACATGTGCTATTCATAAAGTATTATTAAGTTCATTGTCTGTTGGTTGATAGCTGAGATTGTTGAAAACAGCTATGGAGCAGTGTCAATAGGAGAGGCTGAGGATGAGAACAGGACCATGGTTGCTTTACACAAATTTAAAAAAATGTGCCAGAAGGAAGAAAGGAGAAATACATTTATGGAGACATGGTTGTTTTGCTTTATACTCACCCTTCTCTCACAATGATATTCAAGACTCTGCATTTATTCCAGCATCAACAGAAGGAAAGCCAGAGCTGACTGAGAAGCAGCCTAAGATAAAAGCAAGTTTCAAGGTTATTCCCTTTGCAAATAATATTGCAGATTAAGTCAGCATATATCATAGCATTGTTTAAAAGTAAAAACTGGTGTGTCTGCAGTCAAATCTGTGTCTACCTTATTACTGCTGCTGTATTTCAGATAACTGGAGTATATTATGATTTTAGTTGAGAGAAAGTGATTAAGCATTGCACTTCATACTAAACAGAATTCAAATAAGAACGCAGGTCTGTGCAGGGGTAGCTTGGTTGCAAAAAGAATGCCAGGGAATAGCAGATAATAAAAGATGCACTAGTTAGTCCTTTGGATTGAAAAAAAAAATGACACAAAAACCCCAGACAGAAAAGCTCTATTTTGAATTACTGTTGAAGACTGCTGAATGTTGCGAGCAAACAAAATGACCCATCAAATCTTTTTCATTAATTAACTGTTAGCCACATGTTGTGCACATTTCTGAACTAAAGAGAGTCTGTGTCCGATGTGAATGATAAATTCCTCACCAGCTTGTCTTTTTCTTGGAAATGAATAAATTACAAAATTAGAGAGAACTCATTGCGTTAAATATAATTCATTCCATTAAGTAATTAAGCAGCGAAGCAGGAAGGGGAGGCATGAGTGCCAGACTTGTCCTTCACTGGTTTTCCTATGTCTACTTACCCAATATCTCTATTCTTTCCTTGCCTTCTCTTTGAAAACAGTTGAATGTCTTTTCTTTTAATGGGAAGTCAGATTCAGTTAAGAAATGTTCGGGTCTTCAACCTCTGGCCTGATGGAGACCAGGTGCTCCATGTGCTAGTATTTGTTCTGGTGGATGAGGTGAATGGGTCACTGAACTCTTAACTGAGAAACGAAGTTGGCAAGATACATAGAAAGATACTGTAAAATACGTTTTCCGTTCTTGCCCTCCAGAGAAGATGAGAATAGGAAACAACATCATATTGTTATTCTCTCCATCAGCTTCCTTCTCCCTCACACGTCTTTGGGAAGCAACATGAAAAAAATGCAGGGCAGAATCAGCATTTGTGTTTCCCGTGTATAGGCTTGTTAGGGGCATTTTGGGGCAAATGTGCGCTCACATATATAATGCATGTTGTGAATAATCTCAAAGCTGAAGGAAGGATTGTAGTTAGGGATTTAGCAAGGGAATTACAGAGCAATTTCAGTTAAACTGGTAATCTCATTGAATTGATTTCCAAGAGCACACAGAATTTGATGGTGCTGGTGTTTTTCTCCAGGACAAGCCAGCTATAGTGCACAGGTAATCCTGAAGCATGAGGGAAGTCTGGAATGGAGCAATGCAGAGATTGATTTTGTCTGCCTGTATTCTTGGGATGAGAGGAGTGAGAGTACCAGGTTAATTGATACGCCCAGATTAATGGATTATTCATTTTTCTGTTCGATTGTAAACAAAACCCAGAAGCTGTATTGATCTGCCTCTTTTTTTCTTTTCTTCTCATGAGCTTTTTTTAACTGCTTCCTTTACCAACTCTGTTTTTCTTAAAAAAAAAAAAAAGCCTTGATAATAACTTCAAGATCTAAATAATTTTTATTTCTGTGATGCTAAATAACTAAACTCCTGTGTTATAAAAATAGCTGCTTTTCAAAATGTCAAATAATTGTGTAATTTCTAGCTGTAATTTTGCAGAAAAATAACATGCATTAATGGAAAACATTTTGCACCAAGTAATGTCTCTTAATATTATGCTAAAGACACGTCACAAATTTAAAGAAGTAATTTTGTGTAATGTGTAATGGTGGTCATGACAGAAAAGAATTGGAAAGCAGACATTTACGGACAACAAGACAACACTTCTTGAAGTAAGTAATGTAGAGAAGGCAATTTTAAAAGTGTTCATTTTCTTATTTCCAAACAAATAGTTGAATAAGTCAGCATTCATTAAAGTGCTGTTAGCTAATAATGTATTTCTCAACTGAAGTGGAACTGTAATGACTGAGGGCTGATTAAAAAAAAAAACAAAGCACAAAAACCCCTTGCCTTAAAATCATACATTTGAAAATGTCACTGGAAATCTGGCAAGCCAAGGGCTGTTGGGTTACTCCACTCTAAATATTGTACAAAATGAATCTGCAGTTACGTAACAACAAACTGCACTGGCTGCTACATATGAGACCTTCAGAACATCTGTGTTGGGCATTGCTCCATCTCAAGATGGAGGGATTCCTGCCTGCCAAACAAAACTGGCAAGAAAGTTGGGAATCGTCCTGATTATGCTAATCAAGCGACATTTTAATCTTCCTTGGAGGAACAGATTTAGGTTTTCTTGTATATTGTTTAAATGTGATAACTGTGTGCATAAGTAGCATTTCATCTGTTCAATGAGAAAACTTTATCATAGTTTATCATTGGTAACTTTGTGGTGCTCAGCTCAAACAAGCATATTAAATTATTTGACATGTAATGTAGGAACTTTCGCTACATAAATACAAACGTTTTTCTCATCTGACTAGTAATAAACGTTGGGCTAAGTAATAAGATTGGCCTTTCTTTGATAAAGCAGAAGATTTCAAAGCATAGATGACAAAGCTTTTGCTGGTTGGCCCTGGGGAATGTAGCAGGGAACATAATACTGCTGCTTTTCCACATTCTTCACTGTAAAATTAAATTAAAAGTAACTGAAAATAAATGCTGGTTATTGTTGCCTAGTGGCAGGGATGCTTACTAATCTCCACTGACAACAGAGACAATCCCCATATTTTCCTGTTCTCATTCACAGTTGCAAATTGAAAGAGAACAGTGAAGGTCTGTGTGTTGCTCTGCAGCAAGATGTGGTCTCTGTTATATATGCTTTTATATGAATAGCTCTGTTTATTTTCATTTAGATTGGTTATGGTCCTTATGTATTTAGTTATCCATATAAACAATAATATTTACTCTGCTGTTTGTATGTATTTTTATATTCCCTGATTGTTTCTGCTGTCACTTGTACCTGTACAAGTTGTACCTGTGTAATCTTTTCTTCAGTGAATGTGAAGAAGCTTAATTGTGAACAAAATTTAATTGTCGTTTTCAGTTGAGAAAAAACTTACCCTTCTCAAAGGGTAATTGCAATTACAAGTTTGTCATTGTGTCCTGCTACGTGTCCTGGAAATGAAACAGTTTTATTTCATGCCAAAGAGATACTACTGACATGTTGTGATAGAATTCTTACCAAATAATAATATGAGATGTAGCAAAATTTCACCAGAGAAGGAAATGCAAATCCAAGCAGGTAGAATGTGGTTATTTTCTCCTGTAGCAAAAATGCTTTTTCTTTTGCAAAATATGAGTGAAACATTTCTGGAAAATGGGAAGACATTTTTAGACGTCTTTTAGGAATAGCAGTTTTTTCAGGACTAGTTGTGACATTATGTATTTCATTTTTGTACCATGCTTTGAAGATACAAAATTTTATAGTATTGTCATAAGTAAAACCAGCTCTAAATGTTTAGATCATTGTGTTCCGTAAATGTTCACCAGCAAGCCCGTCAGCTGAGACCCAGTAACTGATCTTGTGAACACCTGTAATCTATTAAAAGCACTCATGTAATGAGTTACTTCACTGCAGTTGAGAAGCCAATAACAAAATGCTGACGTGTGATAATGAATATGTTAGAGGCAGTAATATCTTATGTGCAATGGTTTGCTTCAGAAGTGACCGTAGGACAGTGCACGATATGTATACTCAGTGTCTTGTCTCTTAGCAGAAAGCATAATAGGTCTAGGAGCACTTTGCATCTCTGTAGGTAGGAACTGCATGACTTGTCTTTCCTGGCTTTTTTTAGGTCCCAGTCATTTCTAGGCTGAACAGAGTAATTAGTTTAAAAGCCAATAATAAAAAAAAGAAAGAGAGGAAGGAAAGAGAGGTGTATTGCCTCACAAGACAAACTATTTGTGCAGTTATGTCATGCATGGGTAGTAGTTGGTATGTTTTGAGCCATGATGCTGATATTTTATATATGGAGTGCAATGATTGGTCATTCATTACTTAATATGTCTTTTTAAAAGTAACATTGAATGTTAAGTTGTTATCTGTAATTACCCTTTTTTTTTTTTTTTTTTTAGAGTGTTCATATTTTGGAGCGGAAGGCTTCTTCGGGAAGCACAGACCCTTCTTTAAGCAAGCAGTTCCTTGAAAGCGACCCTATCTCTCTATCCAAGGTAAGCAAAAGCATGGGCTGTGAGCTGGGTGATGAGTTTCCCCCTGTAGTTACAATTCAATTTGACTAACAGCTTTGGGGTATTTTTTTGTATGATTTTACCATTGAGTATACTGTGAGCCTGCCCTGGAGCTTCCTATTCCCCAGCTGAGGTGTCAGAGGGGCCAGTAATCTTTAGTAGATGTTATATTAACAAAATTAAGGATTTGGATGGTGGTGGCGGTCTAGGTTTTTTATGCCCATGGATGGCCCCCAGGAAAAAGTTTTACTATCTCAGAGTATGGGGCTAGAAGGGACTTTGAGAAATGATCCAGTCCAATCCTCTTATTAAGGTAGAGCAAATCATATCCAAGTCCAAAAGTGCTGCTAATCAATAATGATATTAATTTAAAAAATATGTCCTAATGACATTCCTTGTGTAGTTTCTTAAAGCTTGAAATTTAAAATCTCTTGCTGAGACCTTCTTTCCTGAGGCAGAGAAATGGATAGAACTGTAGGGGTAACACCAACAGTTCCTGAAAGGTGCAGCCTTGTGTGTGGTACTTTGCAGTCAACTTCTTCCTGGCTGAGTTCCTCAGTTTTGGAATAACTGATTCCAAATAAGTCTAATTCCATGTAAAGAAGGCTTCATTTTAAGATACTTCATATGAAAAAGTAAGATTGTTACTGAAAAGGTGAGGATGCTGTGATGGAATATTTGGTGGAAAAGAAAAATCTGAAATTAAATGTCTGTGAGTTCTGAAATGGAACAGATAAAACAAATTCAAAAGGAAACATATTCTCTTCATCCAGGGAAAATGAAATGGTTCATTCTGTTTTATTTGGAAAATAAATTCTTTGCACTCAAAAAGACTAGGTTCAGAAAGCTGTTGGTAGTGGCTCCCTTTCTCCCAATACCTGGGGCATATGCAGACCCAGGGACTGTAAGTTGTGCTTGTGTTCCCCTGGTCCTGCTGCTTTGCGCAGGGCTGTTTCTCACATAATACGTAGGCAATCACAGAAGTCCTAAAGTACTGATGCTGTACTGGAGAATCGGCATTGGATGAGGACCCTTCAAGCATATCACTTTCACTCTGGTTTTCCCCCATTTCTGGCTGCTGTTGCATAATGTCTCTTGTATTGGGCATATCTCATCACACCACAGGTGTGGGATGAGGCACAGTTAGGATTGTTAGGATGGTTTTAAGAACAGCTTGTAGCACTGGTGCAGCAGAAGACAGGTATCCACATTGCACTGAATAATTGCTCGTTTTGTCCTTCTGTATCAGGCCTTTTGTTTAAATGAATAGCTATATGAGACTGTGTGATTTCTAGTTGAGAAGTAATCAATACTGATGTTATCTAGTAGATAAAAGACTTATGCCTGCAGCTGATCTTCTAAAGGAGAAATCAATATAGTGAAGAATCAATTGGCAGACTTGCGGAGAGAGATTCTCTGCTCGCCCCAGGGGACTCATAGTTTAATTTGCCCCCAAGTGCCAGGTGCTTCTTTGTAGAGAAAAAATAATGCATATGTGCTTCCCTCTACAGTAGTGGAAATAAAATATCCAAGCAAAACACAGGGAAGTAAAAAAGGTGGGTTTTGAGCATGGCGTTTACAGGTGCTGGGATAGTTCCAGTTTATAGTTACGCAGGGAAAACTAAACTGAGTAAACATTTCTATTAAAATTTACTGCAGTATGTATTATTTGGGATAGAGCTTTTCACCCTTGTCAAAATAACAAGACCTTATTGCAAATTGTACATTTTAAATTTGCTGTTACTTTTGAAATTGTATTTTCATAATAGTAATGTTAACGTTATCAGGGCTGTGTAGCTTACTTGGAGGTGTTACGAAAGACTGACAGTGCTCGGCTTTGAACAGTTTTGTGGGAAATGGAGGAGACTTTTTTTTTTCGCTTTAAATGTTTGACACGGTATGACCTCCTTCGTCTCTCTAACTTTTCATAACATTGCTGGGAGTTGTGACAGATCAGCTGAGAAAATGCAAATTTACAACTTTGTAGGATACAATTAGTAAAATAGAGTCTTAATGAGCAGGCAGTAGGAGATTTTTAAATTGGTACAGAATTTTGTTGATTACAGTAGTAGCAAGAGGATAGAAATAAAGGCATGACTTTTTTCACTTTAAAAATATTGTTCTTTAGCTGTTCACTATGGTATATTATGTCTGGCTTGAGTTGTACAAGTCGTCATGCATAAGAAGTGGTATGTACAAGAAATAAGCTTTAATTGGCTCCCTGAAAGGCATACAGCTGGTTGTATCTGAAATGATACAGTTCCTATTCTTTTCTCTAGAGAGAAAATTTGTTAGCTTTCCTATAAATTTCTCTTAATACAGTGAAAATGAATGCAGGAAAAATTTTAAAAAATTAATTTCCTTTTGCAGGTTTCTAAAGACACAATTAGCCTGTGATACTGTCATAAAATGCCTTTGAAGACAAGAGCTAGCTACATTCAAAACCAACAACAAATCAACCTCTTCTGCTTGTTTTTCTGATTTTAAGGAAAAATTAGAGTATCCAGAATCAATGTAACTTGTACTTTAATGATCAGAAAATTTATAATTTTTTTATGATCAGGGAATACCACAAAGGGCACTGTTAATATATGCCCATATATTTAACAGTATGGTTTCTTCCTCATTTCATCTCACGATCCCATCTTTTTTTAGAGAAGGAATACTCTGAGTAAAGGTACATTTTTAACATGCAGATTCTGCCCATACCCCACTTGCAAAATCTCTTTAGTCCTTTCAGTTCTTACAGCGCAGTGCTAATTTGTGGGGTGCCTTCTGGATAGACTTAAGAGGTCAGAGCCACCTGCACTTTTACATCATTACCTCCAGTAGCAGTTCTGACCTTTCTTATACTCAGCCACAATTTGATCCTGTTTTCATGTATTTGGATGTATTTATTTCATTGGGATGCCGTCCTTGTTGTGAACAGCACATCCAGACCCACCCTTAGATTGTCATTCAGTTACAGTGTCAGACTTTTTTAAAAGCTTCAACTTCCTTTTAGTTATCTGGTAAGGGTTAGACTTTCAAAAATATTCATATTCAGTAGTTTTAAATGAGATACAGCCGGACATAATACAGTGACCATGTAGTTTGTTACCTAAATAGGCTGATTTAAAAGCCTAGCCCTCCTTTACTCTTTGTCTTGCACTGGAGAATTTGTGCTGCATATAAGTGCAATATTTCATCATGTGTGTGCACAGTTAATTAGTCAATGTGTCTTCATACTTTTTCACCAGGAACCTGACAGCTGGGAAATCATAGAGGGTCTGAAAATAGGCCAGACCAATGTCCAGAAGCCAGACAAACATGAAGGTTTCATGCTGAAAAAGAGAAAATGGCCTTTAAAAGGTTGGCACAAGGTAAATGTCTCATAAAACAGTCAAAAGATTATTACCTCATTTTATGAGTTGGGATTTTTTGTCTAGAGGAAATTAAGATGTCAAATAAATGCCCAGGATTTTGGTGTATGACTTTTTCTTCAAGTTGTGTAAAGTATTAGTTTGCACACACAGCTCATGGCTTCCAAATTGCAGTGCCTGCTGCCTAATGTTGTATTCAAAATCCAGGCGGAAGTTGTAAATAATGCAGCAGATGCCTTATGGTTTAAGAGGTTTAATCAATATCCCTTTCGTTCTTTCCAATGTATTATAACAAAATGTAGCCATGTACTGTAAGATTGCATTGAGTTTACATTAAAGTACACAGGACTTCATGATAGCAGAGAAGAGCTGAGGGGCTTTTGTATGGACCCAAGGTGTTCGTACAGGACAGCATTCCCCTTCAGGTGTGCTGACTGGGCAGACTTGCTCAGCTTTGTCCCTGAATTTTGTTTGTCTTCTTGATTGCAGTCTTCTGTGTGGTTGTGCAGTGGGACTATGCACTTTTGCCATTAGATATCTCAATTTAAAAAAACAAAACAAATCACCCCCAAACTCAGCCCCATATCTCCTGTTTCTATTTAGTTAATTTGGAGACATTTCTCCATGCTTAGTTCTACCTTTTGTTAGCCCTAAACCTGGTGCTCTTTTGTCTGTATTTTATACCATAATAATTACATTTTTTCCCCCTTTTTTAGCAAAAAGTTGTGTGGTATTCATCTTTTAGGCTCACCCGCCTTTTTGTAGCTGAGGCTACTTGAAGCAGGATAATTTTTTAGGACAGAATGCATTTTACTGCAAAGGATAGTGAAACCATTTGTTATACATGGCGTTTTTTTCTGGGAAAGCATTAACGTTGGTTTTTTGCTAAATACTGTGGGACTTACTCACGTCTGAGTCCAAATGCAGTCCATACTATATAAACTACACTTTTTTCTAATTTCACTGTTCTTTCTGAAAGTTACACAAACTTATACATATGCCTGCCACCCTTTTTTGTGCATGCCTATCTACCTTAGATTTTTTGGTTTTGTTTTACTTAACTAGAGTTCGTAGTTTCAGCAACCAAATACATACGCACTACTTGAATTTAGTCTAGGGAGATTAAAGGATTTCAAACTGACGTACCTGAAACACTGAAAGAACAGAAAAGGAGACCTTATTTAAAAAAAACATAAACCACAAACAAGCATACCAAAAAACCCCCAAACAAACAAACCCACAACAAACCACCCCCAACCCCCCAAAAAACCAAAACAATTAATCAGATGTATAAGAACATGTGGGATAACCCACTGCTTCCACTCCTTTAAAATACATTATCTTAATGTGTTGTTTCTTGGACAAGTGTCTGTTTTGGTAAGGAACTTTATAGGAGAGCAAGGGGAGTCCAACTTTCACAGTTCTATAAAGGAGATCACTATTGATGATCTGTTTTTCATGCTGACTTTAGAGCAGTTACCTGTGTAAATAATTTTTAATGTGATTAAGAGCTTCACAGTTCAGCATCCCCCTCTACTCTGCCTTACATTTCACCTAAGGATCTATGCTGAACTTATGTTTCGAAACTGTGGATTGGTTAATAAGTTTCTTTTTTTTTTTTTTCAACTGCTGCCTTGATACCCTGCAGTTTCCGTAACAGTACTTTGTGCTGAGAACCCAGTGAGGAATTCCAGAGACACTAATTGTAGCATGTGCTGTGTTAGTGTTCTGCTAGCAAAGCCATAGCATCCTCTGTCTATTGAACATTGCATGTCATATTCTGACAGTTCTGAATGTGCTTTAGTAGTATACCAGGTATAATGTGTTCAACTTGGAGAGTAGCGTATCATTTTCTGAAGTGCAGTATGCTTTGGAATGAAACATGAGGAAAGGTTATTTTCTTTTGTGTGTGGAACTTAGAGGGTCAGAGCAGTATGAAATGAATATCATGTTCTTGTGAAGTCCATTAATGACCATACCTAGTAAAAAAAAAAAAACACAGAACCAAAACCCCTCCTGTTGTTTTGACATCTTATTCAAGAAGTTACGTCTCCAGGAAAGCACTGTTTTCTTGCCCTGCGTGAGATATTGGTACCATCTGTTGTACGACTGACATAATTTCCAGAACCATCTTCAGGAGATATTTTTTGCCATCTAACTACTGACCCTGCTCGTAGTGTCGATTTAACAGGTTCACATAATGAAGACATTGTCCTTTCCTTCCATGTCAGACAGCTTAGAGAGTCTAGGACAATATTTTGCTGTGTTCTAGATTTTTAACATAAATTAGTGCTTTAGGTTAGACTAAAAATATGAATTAGTTTCTATTAATCAGCGTGTTTTGAAAGTTAGTGGTGGTAAACACAAGTTAGTGAATCTCATTTCAAGTCTAGGTTCCCTGCTAGGCTGCATCTTTATGCTGTGTGCCAAAGTCAATGCTTTGTCCAAAGCATTAGCAAATGTCCAAAGTTAGCAAGCCAAAGCAATGCTAACTTGTCTGCAATGCAGCTTGAGTGGTCTGGTACACACAAGCTAGGGCAACTTTAATTGCAGGAGAAACACATTGTGAATAGGGGATTCTGCTCTCTGCTGTAAGTAAGAGCCGCTCAGCAAAATAAAGGTGTAGCAATGGCACAGATAGGCATCGTCAGGTTAGCCTAGCCCTGGTAACTATGTCAATGAAGATACAGTGGCTCACACCGTATCCATGACTAACACCCAAACATAAGCCCTCCCATGACCTGGGAATGTTGCTGGGAATGCTGTAATATTTACACTTGTACTAATACCTATTTTAGCTAGATTACAGCTAGAAAAGGTATAATCAGCACGAATTACAATCTCATCTTTACCTCACTGCATAGAGGTCTGCCATGAGGCACAAAATTTTGAATGGTAGAGCAGTGTCTCACAGCCTGAATTTTCTTCCCAGCTGGCGATCAAGGAGACCACAAGAACATTCATATGTGGGTTTTCCTTTTGGGATGTAGATCTTGTGCTAGGAAAAACTTTTCAGTTTCTGGACAGGGAAGGTAGGTTGTTAATTTGAAATGTAACCAGCTTCTGTGGGAAGAAAAACAGGAAGAAACAGACATACATAACTCTTTTGGCCTACAGCGTCTTTCTTACAGAGTTGATTGAATTGGCTGGAAAACTGAAAAAATACCCTTCATTATCAAGGTTTGTTAAGTTAAACCTAGGACATAATGTTGAAGAAAGAAAATCTAGTTTTTCTTGCTTAGAAGATAATTGTGAAAAAAACAAGCAAGAAAATTATTCAATACTGTATTTATCCTCTCTTTCCAACCCACAAACATTAATTGCTACAGAGTAATCCTTTTCTTTTGCAGTTGAATTATTGTACACAGTTTAAATTGCATCTGCTTATTAAGAAAGGTGTTTTTTTTTTCTTTTAGAGGTTTTTTGTCCTGGATAATGGAATGTTGAAATATTCAAAGTCACCAATTGATGTAAGTAAAGTTGAAGACCGTTTTTAAATTTGTATTGGAATTCAGCCTGCCAGGGTGATTAAATCTCATACTCACTCTAGGCATATTTATGACAGCGCACACATGAAAGTTGTTGATGGATTCAAAGAGAGATCTGTATATGGAAAGCATGTAAGGTTTTGGTTGAGTTCTGTCCTCAAGAATTCTACCTTTTCTTACTTCTGTGAAAATAAAAACTACATTACTTGAAGTAGTTTATTTAAAAAAGGTGCTTGAGAGATTAGCCTGACCATGTATCTATCTTTTTCAATTTTTATGTCACTCAGAGCTGATTATTCTGAGATATGTGGATAGGACAGAGAGTGATTACAATGTACTCAAGAGATATAAAGGGTAGCATTAAATTAGTTAGATCTCATACCAATGACTATCAAGTGGTAGCAGCAGGGAGCTGAGTACTGTCTAATTTTCTCTGCTTCTCACTTACCTGTGGCTGTCTACTGGTGTGAACCAACACACTTTAACTTTAGAGTTGGCTCTGCACTGAGCACTTCTTGGGAGATACTTTGTCCATAAATATAGTAAGTGGTTAGTCTGACTACAAGTTTTGTTTTTTAATATGGCTTTATATTAAAATGTTCATAAAATGGGAAACCATTTCAGGACCAGATATTTTTCTGTTAAATATAGTGAAGATGTGCGTGATACTACCAATTTCTTACCCTGCTTTTTGATTTTAGATACAGAAAGGCAAAGTTCATGGGAGCATTGATGTTGGTTTATCAGTTATGTCTATAAAAAAGAAGGCTCGTAGAATAGATCTCGACACAGAAGAACACATCTATCATCTGAAGGTAAATGTGGCGCAAATACTTATTTGCTTTTCATCCACAGTGGAAATAAATAAAACTGTAAAAGGTGTGCAGAGAAGTAGTATTTTGAATGCTTTCTTGATAGTGAACTTGTTTCTAGGTGAAGTCTCAGGATTCATTTGATGCATGGGTTTCAAAATTACGCCACCACCGGTTGTACCGTCAGAATGAGATTGTGAGATCTCCGAGAGATGCTAGCTTTCATATATTCCCTTCAGCCTCTACTACAGAGTCTTCACCAGCTGCTAATGTGTCAGATGGAAAGGTATGTAGTGTTCTTTTGCTGAAAACTCATGCCTGCTGGGCTTGCTTACGGGCAGTTTCAGTGGGCTCTGCTTGTAATGCCAATAGAGAGGAGTTTCCACTGTGGGAACCAGTGGCCAGCAAAAAGCTGTGAGTGTGTGCAGCTGAGACTGTCTAATTTAGCCTTACTGCAGCCTTCATTAATGGGCTGCTGTAGAGATCTTGCAAAGAATTCACCGTCCCCAGAACAATTTGCACTTGCCTTTGTCATCAGGGATAAATCTGTCTCGTTACTGTTTGATAATGCTCTTCCTTTTAAACAACAGCTTTTCTAACTGGTGGTTAGCAAACACAGTTTGCTTATGAGGTTCTTGGTTTGGTTCTCCAACGTACTGTTCAGAAAAATCTGCATCTTGGGGAACTATATAGTCAAATCACAGATGTCACTGAAATCACAATGCATATTTTATTTTCTTATTCTGAAGTACTATGGTGATTACACTGACTGAGCAACATAGCAACAGTAAATTTAAGCATTTTATTATGCCTTAGGTGCAACAAAATAGCTTCCCCTGGCAGTCTCCTATACCTTGCAGTAACAGCCTTCCTGCCACCTGCACTACTGGTCAGAGTAAAGTAGCAGCCTGGTTGCAGGACTCTGAAGAGATGGACAGATGTGCAGAAGGTTAGTCTTTACCATTTCATGCCTTGTTCTTTCAGCAAAACTTCTTGTTGATATGAAATAAGAAACAGTCAGTAAAGTGGCTAAGTTGCATCTTTACATGCACAGGAAGTAGCTCTTCAGGTCTTGTGGTGGGAACTTCCCTCTCTGCATGTTTTGGGATGTTGCTTTTAAAATTTATCTTAATAATCTGTATTATCTTAATGGATATCATTGTTAAAATATGACCAGCTTTTGAGGTCCAGACTTGTTGGCGACTCCCATAGAAATAACAAGTGATCAACATCTTTGAAAATAAAGCTTTTACTTAGATGCCTTACTACTAGGGGTTTGGACATTTAACTTTTATAAGCAATAAAGTGCCAATGATGGACATCATGGCAAAAAAAAAAGGTCAAACTGAAGCACCTAATGTATTTTCGTTTTACATCTGTTAGATCTTGCTCATTGTCAGTCAAACCTTGTGGAACTCAGTAAACTTCTTCAAAATTTAGAAATACTACAGAGAACTCAGTCAGCACCAAATTTCACAGACATGCAGGTAAATATGCTTGAACATAAATCATCACGCTGAAACATTTGTTCTTTGTGTTAAAAGAAATATAGAGATGTCTGTTAACTCAGAATGATTTTCTGAAATCATAGTAACTCTTGGATGAAAGGTTTATCTTACATGTTAATATTGTGTAATAATGTGTAAACAAATAATTGTGTAATTATGTGTAAACAAATAATTAAGACTTATTAATTATTTGAGTCAAAGAGGACGAATCAAATGATTAAGTCATTTGCAAAGCAAAACTAAGAACTGTTACAATTGAAATACATGTATACATTGAAATGGTATTTAAGGAGTTTTTGTTGTGCTGAGTAAGATATCATTTTAAGTTTTTAAGAAGTGGAGACGCAAAGACCCTCAAAGATGAAGTTGCATGCTCTAGAAAAGAGGGTATAGTACAAAGGTCCCAAGGGTTGGACCATTTCCCAGTTCAGGGTGAGTTTTTCTCTTGTCCACAAGGAAGCAACAGCAGATCCTAAATCCTAAATACTTTCTTCCATTTTTCACTTAGTCCCCTTGAGTACACAAATCTCCCAGTGGTGTTGGTGCGTTGGGAAGTCTAGTTCCAATGAGGTAATGAGACTTAACATTGATTTCAGGAAGAGGTGAACTCTACGTTTCTCTGAGTTGTACCAGAATAGAAATCCATGAGGATTTCAAGATCTGGTCCTAAATATTGTGCACTCATGAAGAAAGTATACCAGTAGTTTTGCTAAAGGAGCTAAATATGCCATGTGTTTATAGAAGTGTAGGGGTAGCTACAGCTGGTCACTGCTATAGTTGAGGGCCCTGGCAGTGGCATTCTTCTCCTTGCTTTCTAATTTGTAGATGCTTAAAGCTACAATTCTTTACTAACTTGCTGTACTGTCTGTGTTGCTTGTGTCAACTTAATAGTACTTTGTCGCTTTTAACTATTTGTGTAATGTAGGCTAACTGTGTAGATATTTCAAAGAAAGACAAGCGGGTCACGAGACGATGGAGAACAAAAAGTGTCAGCAAAGATGCAAAAATTCAACTTCAGGTACTGAATGCACAATGTTTTACTTTTCACTGTACTTTTAGATTAACTTTTAAGCATGAAATGATGTATTAGCTGAAAATAGGAAGTCAATGTACTGTCTCTTATGTTCCTGATGAAGTAAATTAAATCTCAGTTTGTTGTTTAAAACCTAGAGAAGATAGAAAAGTATTGATTTTACTTTCATTCATATGAAAACATTGCCATCTAGGGAAAGGAGTGGGATCTGAATACTAGTCAATTAAGGTACAAAAAAGGCAATATGCATGCAGCACACGGGGATACTGATATGCTATCTCAAACTTGCCAAGAAGGGCAGTTGAACAGGTGACATGAAGCTAAAAGCAGAAAACATGAACGAAATGCTAAACACACCAGTTGTCTCTGTCAAGACCCATACTAGGAATGTTACTAACGAGAAGTATTTTTGCAAGCCTTCTCTTATGGAAAAGGCTAGTATGGGAACAAACTGAATAAACCAAAGAATAAATTACGTGAAGAAAGAATTTACCCTATCCTGCCTTAGAGCTGAAAAGTAAAAGCACAGAAATAAGCATAATACGCTTGTATTACTGCTAGATCCAGGATGTCTTATTGTGTTTTGCCGGACGTAGTTGTGTGTTTTGAGGCCTAATCCAAAACCTAGTATTTTTTATAATTGAGCAACTGATAATGAAGACTATATTCAACTGACTTCCAGAGCTAACAATTACCACTGTGCTGTCTGCTATGGGATAAATAAATGTCAGCAACTTTTGATCCATTTAAATTCCTTGAAATTCATGCAAACTTTGAAAGCTTCTAATATGTCCCCTAGAGGCACAATAAGGAGTTTTCTGTGACTCATTTAAGATTAATAATCTTAAAGAAAGAAGAAATTGTAGTTGCATCAGCTTTCTCATTGCAGCTGTTGTACACGATTTTTCTTTCTACCTGGTATACTAGATAAATCACAATAGGTTGAACAATGAAGCATCTGTTAGGATTAAAAAGGTTTATTAACAGAGGAATTTTGGTGATTGATGTCATGTCCTATTACGTGCATTTGAAGGATCACTGTGTTTCCCTGCTGCAGCATAACATAGGCAAATAAAAATATCAGGAAAATGGATGCAAGTACTTGGTGCCTATGAAGAGACAGAGTCAACACTGCATGTTCTTCTTTCATGCCACAGTGGTCTCAGAAAAATTCCTTTCCACAACAATGATGAAAAAATGATGAAAGCAGTCAATGTATGATGATTTAGGGTGGGTCAGGAGGAATTACAAGCTGTTCCTGTGTTGCCTGCACTTTGCCAAAGTGGCACTGGTCTGGGCTTCCATCATTTTGGCACCTGACTCTCAAACTGTTTGTGGCTTGGCAGGACTTGTGCCTCAGCTCCTGAAATTCTCAAATACGGTCAGTTTGCAGGTTCCCCTGAGAGAGTTTGTGTGCATAGCACTGCTCTACATGGGTCTGTCACTTCTGGGTCGATAATGAACTCTGCCTAACCTGAGTCAGCATTAACTCCTGGCAAGCTTAATGCTGGAAACGTAAAGCTTATTTTGTTTGAGCAAAGCATTAAGTTATTGATGACTGATTAATAAATTAATTTGTAGTGAAACAGAAACAATAAAATTATTCGAAATCATATGGAAGATGAAGACTCCTTTTTGGCTGCTCCATTATCTTGCCTAGTTTGATGGGCTCAACACATTATTTATTCTTTCAAGGGCTGTCCTGTCCCATGAATGGTCTAAAGCTGTGGTTTGTGGAAGATGGCCTCACTCTGACTCATTGTGTTATTCCTAATTTGCTCATGTTGCCGTTCCACTAAAATGTGGATTTCCTCCCATGCCTAGGGTGTTGGGTGACGGTTGGACTCGATGATCTTAGAGGTCTTTTCCAACCTCAATGATTCTATGATTCTATTATCTTGCCTAGTTTGATGGGCTCAACACATTATTTATTCTTTCAAGGGCTGTCCTGTCCCATGAATGGTCTAAAGCTGTGGTTTGTGGAAGATGGCCTCACTCTGACTCATTGTGTTATTCCTAATTTGCTCATGTTGCCGTTCCACTAAAATGTGGATTTCCTCCCATGCCTAGGTGCTTTTTAAGCTTACAGTCCCATTTTGTTCTTCTGTTAGCCATTCCTTCTAGCTTCATTGGCCTTGGTAATTTTTTTTCAAGACTACTACAACTCTTTACAAACTGTTTATCAGGGCATCCAATACTGAGAATCACTTTGTCTAATTTGTGATCGTTTCTTCATGGTGCCTACACATGATTTGCTATTAAATGGTTGACATTTGGTACTAAGAAAACTGCTGTTGTCCTTTTCCTTTCCCTGTGCCTCCATACATCTCATTAGTTTTAGGGGATAATGCTAATACTAACATACTAACTTTAAGCTAGTTGCACTATCATATGATGTTGAGAACTGTCCTTCCGGGGAACATAAAAATTAGGGAGCTCTATATACAGGTGTCTTGTTCATGAGTAATAGGGAACGAGGGTGTAATTTTTGCTAGCTCAGCATCTGCTGCATAAGATGCAAGGAGAGAATTCTCCCATCCAGATTTTGTATTGTACTCGTTACCAGTTTTTTGTTACTAAGATAGCTTTGGTTGTATTCCTGCTAACACATTCTGCAATATGAATGCTAGTGTATAATGTCTTTAAAACATACTTTTTCTTGTAAGAAAAGCTGCTTGCTTTGTTTCTTGGAAATATCTATTTACCAATTAGGTATACCAGTTCTGTATGCAGTTAACTTTGCTCACACAGCTAATCCCAGTGACTAGAGTGGGGTTACTCCCCGAAGTAAAATTGAGCGTAATGTGTGTATACGTTTGCAGGTTTGGGAGTTTAGTATTGCTAAATTGTTTAGAATTAACAGCTTAATTTACAGGCCTTTACTCAAGAGTAATACATGGACTGCTTCTCTGAAGAAAGATTGCTTTTATGAAGGAGGTTTATTTTGTTTTTAAAAAGACTTTTTAAAGTCTTATGAAAATGACCTGCAACAACAGGTTAGTTGACCTGTATTCATTCATTTTACAAATGATTATTTTGTACAAAAAATGAGTTGTGGGTTCCCCCCCCCCTTGGGTAAAAGACTAATTTGTCATTCTCATGACAATCTAAAGATCTTCAAAAGAAGACAAAAAAAATATTGCCGAAAAGCATCTTGCTCTGCTGAGGGTTTCAGCTCAAAAATGAAACCAGACCCAAAGACTGGCTTATTACCTTTTCCCTTAAGTAAGTATTTCTTTATATCGTAACTCAGATTATGATGTCACTTTCTATTGTGTTGAGGGGAGTGTGTAGTTCTGCAGAGCTCATTGTTCCCATTTTAATAATGTATACCTGCATTCATAATCTTGCAGTTATATATATATTTGTGCATATCTCTCTGTACGTGTATATATTTATATACATCCCTATTAGTTAAACAAGAATATTCTTCCAAACTCTTATTCACAGGATAGACATACTTCTGTAGCGCACAAAGAGCTTTACATTATGCATATGATGCGTTCTCTGCTTTAACAAAGTTTGTACTCTGTATTTTAGAGGTTATCTACGTGTTTTTTAATGTTAGAATTTCATAAAATATTACAAAGCAAGGCTTCTCTTACTGTGATCATTAGACAACCCTTCCATTGTCAGTAACACTGCCACTAACATCAGCCAGAGGGTGAAGGGTATGGCCATTCTCAGATGCAGCAACCCTACCAGCGGGAATGTTACAGGGGCAAGACACTTCAGCTAATAATTGAACTACAATATCCTGTTCTTCAGCATGGTGTCCATGTACCAATCTATACCATTGTTATTTATATGGCACCCAGGCTGCTTTCAGAAAAAGTAAAAATGTATATAGATTTAAAAATACTGAAGTGGCTATAGGTGAAGATATAGGGGAAGAAAAATGTAAAGGGATTGAAAATTGTTTTCTGAAAGCAGAAAGGTGGCTTTT